TTGCATTCAAACAAWACCAGTTTTTGTTGAGTTTTCAACGGTTTTAGTCTGGTTCCACTTTTCTTTCATCTCTCTGGGTATGCACCAGCTGCCCCAATTTGTTTACCAAGCCACATCCCTTATTTCCTCCAGTCCCTCCAAATGACCACTTCCTCCACCTGCCCTGCAAAACCATGAGAATAAAAGTCTCMGTGTTTGCAGAGTCAATGAATTGTTTGCATGTCTAACAAACTAATCCTTTCATTTCCCCCCACCATTCTCACAATGGAGTTTGTGCTTCCTTTCTCCTTTTGACCTTCTTTTGGCTCTCCTGTACTGTGTGAGGTTGAGTTTGGTCATTGGCTGTCCAAGAATTGTGTGGTTCATGAGGTACAAGAAACCTATTCTTGAGTTTCTGATAAGTAATATGCTTAATAAATCCAAAATTAACAGCAGGAACAACCAACATGTCAAATTTTTATCTACTAKAAGTTTTTGTATGTTTATCTAGAAAATACAGAAATAACGAAGACCMTGAGGCATTTTGAGCATTGATTGATTGACTGAACTTGAAGATTACCCTACTTTGAATTGGGGATTGGACCAATGGCCTCCAGGGGTCCCTCCCAGGTGAAGTATTTCTGTGATTCTGTGGTTTTATATACTGTAAAAACACTGTCAAATTTGCTGTGCAAATGTGGGTTTTTTGATGGGCAATCAAAACCGCCTAAACTTGATCATGACCTGAGATACTTTCTTGTAAAAATCCATGGTAAGGTCCATCAGATGCTATTATTTACCTATTTCCTTAGGTAAATCTATTTTAAATTGCATCAAGAGATTTGTAAAGTTCTGAAGAGTTTCAGAAATGGAGAATTTGGGATGAAYATTCCCTTGTTTTCTATGCTTGCCCCTATCCCCAGATTTAGACCCCTATTTCTCTGGGGAGGTTTTGTACAGTTTTACAATGATCAGTGTTTGACCACTGAATTTTGGCTTGAGTTTGTGACAGAAGTCAAAAGATCACCTTGGGGGGTTTTGCAGTAGATGACTTGTGGAGCTTAAACACCCTGAGCCTTGCTGCCCTGGTGAGGATGGAGCACATTGAGGGATGAACAGGAGGAGACAGAAAAAGAAGAAATTTACTCACTTTTACWGCATGTTTTTGTGATGTTATTAGGACTGAGATACTCACAAAAGTAATCTGGGGGAATTCAAGACAACTCAGCAGTTTAGTTCCAAACTCTTCTGCTTTCAGAAAGTTAACTGCTAAGTAATTAATATTTGAGAAATATTGATGATTAAGTTATGCTGTGTGTTAACAGGGCAAGAAGAAATAGCCTTAGGTTGTGCCAGGCAAGGTTAAATTGGATACTAGGAAAAATTTCTTCACAAAATTCTTGTCAAGCAGTGAATTAGGATGCCCAGGGAACTGGTGGAATCACCATCCCYRGCAGTGTTTGAAAGTCATGTGGGTTTCACATTTGGGKATGTGGTGTAGTGGTTAATRGTTGGGCTAMATGATCTTAGAGKTCTTTCCCAATATTTATTATTCCAYKYTTGATTCAGTCCCTSAARTTGTGCCCTGGGACTAGAGACATGATGGCTGTGCCTGAGTGATGCCCTCCCAGCAGCTGGTGGGTGTTCCTGAGGGAGTGCAGGCCAGACCAAAGGGTCTCCACAGGTCCTTGGATTGCTTCCAGCCCTGGTCTGGCCCTTCCACATGGGCAGTCCCAAAAACAAAGGCCCATCTCACACCAGCCTAATAAGCAGCTTTGGCTCAGAAACAGCCTCAACCCCAGAAAGGGACAAGTTAGATAAGAGACAACAGGAGAACTTGTTGGGGTGCAGATGGGGTGCAAAACCAGCAGCTGCAGCAACAGCTTTTGATCTCTGCTTTCTCTGCATCACATGCCAGGTGGTGCCTTCTTGTAGAACCAGGAAGCTCTAAATGTTGGTTTACAAATCAAACGTGTGCCCATGGAAGTCAGGGGGCAGGGAAGTGAGAGAAGTGGGGAATGTGGCATTGAGTTACTGAACCGAGGGATTGGGCTGCTGAGCTGCACCCTTTGGCATCTCTGCCTATAAATTCCAGCGTCCTCCTGCATCAGGAGCTCCGAGGAGATGGCTGCCACCAGGATCTTGTCTTGGATGGTGATGATAAGTCTGCACTTTCRGGTGGATGCAGGTAAAGAGCCTCACTTCTGATCACCTTTGTAGCTGTATTTCACCTCAGGTTAACGCTGGCATTTAAGGGTAAAAGAGGATTTACCAGCATGGCTCAGCTCTTTTGAAAACCAYGAGCAGGTCAAACCTATGAGCTGGGCAAATCAATTTTAATGAATTTAATTTTTTTCTCACTATTTTTTGTAAAGAACCTGGTAAAGTAAATTCAAACAAATATACTGCAAAGCCAATGGTAACATTTTCTGACCCTTTATATTGAGGTTATAAATATATATATATATATATATATATATAAAATGGATTTAAAGACAAATTAATATTTTCTGGACTAAATATATGTTTATTTTAAAGAGGTTGAGGCATACTTGAACTGGGGTGTTTGTATTTGATTAGGTATGTTGTTACAACTAACATATAGGGATTTAATAACACAGTGCCCTAGATCAAACAAGTATAGCACATATCCCTGCTCCTATTATAACTATTAGMCTATAATAGAAATTACTGTAATTTTTTATTGTTCTAATTTCCCATAGGCTAATTCCTGTTAGGAGTGTAATTTGATTTGGTTGCAGAGTCAATGGTCTGCCCAGACACTTTCATCCCATTGGGGACCAATAGAAATATTGCTGGGTCTGATGGAGGAAGGATGTTTCAAAGAGATTGAAATAGGCTTTTTGTGTTCAAAAAAAAAACTTTCTCCCTCTTCATGTGGGGCTTCCTGACTGAGCAAGGTGCCAGCCTGGTGCTGAGAGAAACAAGACCTTTCTTTTTAAGCAGCTGCTGTTGCATCCTCTATGCAAGGATAGAGAAAGATCAAAAGTGATGCCACAGCTGCTGTCTTTCCATCCCTTCTTCTTACAGGTCTTAAATTATCCACAGTTTGAACAGACATATTTTGGCTGAATACAGGTTTGCAGACCGCTTTTCAGTGACCTATACAGGAACAGAGCAGGACTCACACGAAATTCCATTATTAATTCTGATTATAGGCTTGGTGCTGTCCCCCGATCACAAAAACACCAGGGAAGAGATCACCTTTGCGTGCCAGAGCTCTTTTCTGCGGGACACCTTCGATCTCTTAGTGCCACCTGCAGGCTTTCCATCGCCCTTAGCAGGGAAAATCCTTCTTTAACCCAGTTTTGGACACCAGCTGCCGTCAGCAGCATCGCATTGACAAAATCAGTGGTGTTGGAAGGAAGGGAACGAGAGGTTAGGAAGGAAGGGAACGAGCTTAGATGTGGTGGGAATGTGAGCAGAACCTGGGATAGGGAGATTTTGGAGAGCCCCTTTTTGCCTGCAGCCTTGCACAATGAAAATAATGAGCAGTGGAGCCTCCCTTGTCACTGGCCTTGCTCTGATCACCTCCCCAGATATTTTATGTCATCTTCATTCCATTGAGAGTTTTGTTCTTGGTTTGGACAAAGGGAGGAGGAGGCAGYTGTTCACAGCCTGTTCTCATGCCAGTGGCAGAGCCATCAACTCCTGATGAGATCAAATGAAACCAGTGGATAAATTGGAGTTGGAAAAGACCTTTGAGGTTGAGTTCAACCAGTACCCCAACACTGCCAAACCCACCGCTAAACCACTGTCTCACACGTTTACATGTCTTTTAAATCCCTTCAGGAATGGTGACTCCACCACTGCCCTGGGCAGCGTGTTCTTTCCCTGAAAATATTTCCTCTTATCTCCAGTCTCATTTGAGGCTATCACTTGTTACCTGTGAGAAAGTACTGACCCCCACCAGGTTACAACCTCCTTTCAGGGTAGCTGTAGTGAGCAATAAGGTCCCCCCTGAGCCTTCTTTTCTTCAGGCTGAACCCTCCCCAGCTCCCTCGAGTGGATCCAGTCTGGCTCCCATACACTTGTGCATATCATCAGTGGTGTAGCAGGTCACTCACTGTTTCCCTTTGGATTATAGGGGTTTCATTTTGCTCCCCATCCCTGTCTTCCAGCTCAGGGGGCTGGGAAGCCTGARAAAACGGGTCTCACTTCAAGGGCATTTAGCACTCTCTAGGCCAGTTGCAGATTTTGGTGGGTTCACAAAGAGTTTTGATGGTTAATGAAAGAAAAAACCTCAGATAGACAGAAATCCGGATCTAAAGTTTGTTGGCTACAAATTGCAAGAAACTGAAACAGGGTATTTTGAGGAAGTATCACRTTAAATTTACCTTGTTGACCTTCACATATGCTATCCCACTTTTTTTTTCTTCTCTAAATGCAACAGGTCCCGCAACAACAGTGGACCCCACAACTTGTAAGTAGAATTTATCAGATTATTGCTTTATATGACAGTGGTAGCTATATGTTTTTGTCATAATATTTATTCTTGGGAACAAATCAATATGATAATAAAGCTCACATTTTCTTTAGGGTGGGGATGGGGTTATACATGAGAAGTAAATTATCTGGGAGGCATGAACTTGGGGATGGCTCTGCCCTCCAGCAACCAACCTCCTTGCTAGTAAGAAAAAAATCTTCTGTCACTTGTGCCCTTCACTGGGAGCTTGACACATTGGGGGAAGAGTGGAGAGCACTGAGAGCTCCTGAAGAATTTGTCCTAATTCTCTTGCTTTCTGTCTGTTTTTTTTCCTGCCTGCCCTCATCCACTGCCCCAGACATAGCTGATGGTGAGTCTGTCTGCCAGGGTTCTTGCCATGGCCTGGGCATGGGGATGGGATGTGTCTGTTCCTGCTGCCCCAACCTCTCCATCCCATGGTGTGGGAGCCTGCTGTGCTGCAGGGGGATGCAGCCATGCCCACAGAGGATGTGGGGTGTCACTGCCTGGACCCAGAGCATTTCTGGCCTGACCAAGGGCTTTGTGTCTCCCAGAGATGCTGCTGAGGCTGAGCGGTGGGCCCAACCGGTGCGCTGGCAATGTGCAGATCTTCTATTTTGGAAGCTGGGAGAAGGTGTGTGGGCACCTGTGGGACATGCAGGATGCCGAGGTGGTGTGCAGGCAGCTGGGCTGTGGCTCAGCCCTCGCAGCCATGCACCRCTTCCCCTCGGACGACTTGTACCCRTTTGTGATGACCGAGGTGAACTGTGCTGGCCACGAGAGCTACTTGTGGCAGTGCCCCTACAACTACCAGTACCATGTCTGCCACCATGGAGATGCTTCTGTCGTGTGTTCAGGTGGGTGTCCGTGTTTTGGTGGTGTTTTCCTGAAGAAAACTCATCTGGAGTTGGTTCATCAACAGTTGGTTCTGGAGTTGATTCATCCCATCTCATCTGGGATGAAGGCTGTCCAGCCCTTGCTGTGCGCTCAGCAGGGCAGCAGCAGGTCGTGGGTCCATGTCCCTGACACAGRGGGCTGTGTTTCAAATGGAGCATCAATCTCATGTGTGCAGACTGTGCCTGGGAAATGTGGGGTTTGGGCAACATTCCTGCACAGAGCAGGGTGTGAGGAGAKGGATGGGTTTTAGTCAGGCTGTCCTCCCCATGGGTCCCTCCATAGCTTCCCATGAAATTAAAATACATGTTCCARGGGAGACAAGCAGTCTGAGTGCCTCACACCCTCTGGTTTTCTCCTTCCAGACTCGGGAATGGCAGTGCCTCCAACAACAGGTAACCAGAGATTTCTGTTCATGTATGACTTTTCYGTGGGATGTTCTCCGTCTGGCATGCTCTGTGTAGGCTGCACTTRCAGACCCTGGAGTCAGGGATATGCGGGATTGTTTGGCATCCTTTGGGATTGCTCTCCCACTTTTTCTGTGGGAGAGGTTTGGTGTTGTTCTTCACAGTGCCACAGCAGGTATGCCTTTGAGCAAGCACTGGARCAGTTGTCACCACATTACAGCACTGACTATGGGCTTTGGGATTCATTGGGGTTCAGCAGGGTTCCCTTTGGAGAGGGGGACTCCCAGCAGGATGATCCTATTAGGCAAACCACCGTTTGCTCACCTGCTGTTTCCTCTCTGCAGCACCAGCTGCCTCCAGACTGATGCTTCCTGCATTATGGACTACAGGTATGTCCTGAGAGGCTGTGGGGCTGGGCTAGCTTCTGCCCTCAGTTTCCATCACAGAATCACAGGATGGATGAGGCTGGGAGGGATCTCTGGTCCTACCCCCTGGCTAAAGCAGGATCATCTAGAGCTGGCTTCCCAAGGCCATATCCAGAGAGTTCTTCGCTATTTCCCACCTCTGTGGGCAACCTGTGTCGGTGCTCAGTCACCCTCASAGTGAAAAAGTGTCTCCTGATGTTCAGAGGGAACATCCTGTGTTTTGTGTTTGTCCCCTCACTGGGAACYACTGGAAAGAGCCTGGCTTCTGGARAGGGTTGRCTCAGCAKGTTGTTTCTCTTAGGAAAAATGCTGGGATCAGCCCTACTGATTTCATCCTAGAGCACCAGGTGCTCACTGACCACATTCAGGTCCAGAGGAGCTAAAGGGTCTGGTTATCTCCTGCCCCAGATATCCCATTGGATGGCCAAGCCCATGGACTGGGATTACTGTCTGAGCTGAGCACAACCTGTGCCCTGGGCTGGGGGGATGCAGGGATGTTTTGGGGTGCCCATGAGGGAACATCTCTGTGGGGCTGTGGCAGAGCCTCCTTGGTGGGGCCATGCTCTTCTCTGATGGATTCTGGTGATGGAATAAGAGCTCTCTGCCCATGTTGGGCTCTGCTCATTTCCTCAGGGTCCCCCTCGTGTGGTGCCTTACTTCAGGGATTGTCCGGCTCCTTCCAGAGCCCGGGATACCCCGGCTCCTACCCCAACAACGTGTCCTGTGTGTGGCACATCCGTCTGTGGGATCCCGACCGCAGAGTCCAGCTCCAGTTCACAGATGTGGGGTGAGTCTGGCTGGACATGGCTGTGGGCTCAGGGGTGGCTTCATCCCCACTGTGGGGCCTTGGCTGTCTCTGCTGGGCTGAGGTGGGAATGGGCAGATGTGGGGTGAGTCTGGCTGGACATGGCTGTGGGCTCAGGGGTGGCTTCATCCCCACTGTGGGGCCTTGGCTGTCTCTGCTGGGCTGAGGTGGGAAYRGGGMTGAGGKGRGAATGGGGYTGAGSTGGGAATGGGGWKRRGKRGGAATGGGGYKRRGYKGGRAWKGGG